TCGGACACATGTGCAGATAAACACCCATCCGCCAACGAGTCTTGTGAGCAGGTGACTGAACCGGACTTAAGCTAAATCCATTGTTTACCGTCTACTTCCACTGAATAGACTTGGAACGATATTCAAGATATCAAAGTCTTTCTCTTCAAATGGCACTACTCATGACGTTGATGAGATTTAGCTGGATGTCCGATTAAACTCATCTTAATTCCCAAATTGGTGTTTACTTCCACATAATAACAAATTGGTTCTAATCATCAAGTGAGAACTAGGCCAATCTGGTGAGCCACCGATGACACGAAACAGGTAAGTGGTCGTTCAGGAGTTTTGATCTACCATTTGAGTAGAAGAGAGAGAGAACATCTCGAATATCGTTCCGAAAGAAGCATTAAACGGCCTTTGCGCAACACCCGTAGTTGAATAAGATTATTTTTTTAAAAGTCTCGGTTACTTTAGTATAATAATCATAGTCGTTCAGCTGTAACACACTTTCGGTGTCTATCCACCATGCCAACCGAAGCAAGCACGAGGGCTGGGATACTGCCAGGTCGAGAAGCGGAGGTCGGGTTCGAATCACGAACCCTCCGGTCACTAAATTCGCGCTCTAACCACTGAGCCATTATTAGGAGCAATGTGGTACACCCGCACTACCAAATGAACAGAATCGTGGCTGGTAACCCAGAAAATCTGTACAGTGAAATGACTACCAATAAGGTTGGATAGGATGCTGATTGTAGGTCACTGTGGACTAAATTGCCTGGTAGCGAAACTTAGAGTAGACTAATCGTACAAATGAGAATAAATGGAACATCGATATTTGTTGTGAGTAATCACCAAAAAGCATCCCTGACCCCATGCTTATTGCATAGGTGATTTCTAACTATTCATCTCTTCCGACTTGGCCTTTCTTTGTCTAAACTCAGCTTCCTTTGTTCCTTCCAGATTTTTATGCCAGCAACTGGGTGAAGTTGTGTTAAACTGCCGCTTCATGGCTTTAAGATGATTGGAAATAAATTAGATGTAGACAAAGAACAAAATACTAAAGATGAAGAATTACTGAAGGCATATTTTAACAGAAAAGCAATTGAATGACTGCTCGCAACAAAACGCCAACCAACTGGGTTTGTTCAACGTCAGTTCGTGCCCTATCCTAGTCAGTGCTGTAATAACCTGACTGGTGAGGAAAGACTACAACCGAAGGACGACGTTTACCCCATCAGGCTTAAAACGCTCTCCTTTTTAAAGCAACACCACCTATACAACAAAGGGATGAACATCGAAAAGAACAGACAAGTTCGAATGATGTGCGTGCATGCATCTGACTACTCAAATCCGTATGAAAGTAGGGCTTCGTTTAGGAACAGCAAAAGACTTCACAAGCTGTCACAAGCTGCCTATTTCTATGCTCCATCGGGATTAGTTGCCCACACACTGATCTGGAAACCAACTGGTTCATCCATGCCAGCTGGAATGCTTAAGTTAACTCTGGCAGATCGGGAACCATGTAATCATACGAATGTGACGCTTCTCAGAGGCCGGGGAGGGAAAACGATTAAAAAACAACGTGCTGATTTTTTATTCAGTATTGCGCACTGTTTGTGTGCGAAGTGTCCTAAAGCCAACTGTGTGGGAGCACTTCGTTAGCATCACTCATGTCGTAGAAGAGAGACTGCATCAAACGCATTGTGGGTGTGATTCTCTCTCTCTCTCTCTGCAGACAACAGGCCATTTTTTGGTTCAAGCCTGATTACACAAACCCGCGAGAATTGCAAACACCACGTTGTGACTTTGTGTGTACAGCATCTTCCCACAAATAATACACTGGGGCGAAGTAGCTTTAAAATCCGACGTTCAAGTTTCTAGATCACATCTGTTGCGTTATTGATCATCAGTGATGCCTACTAACAAGATGTACTCTCAAGATAGGCTAATCGATAAGTAACGTCACATGCCGATCGGTTACTGAGTGGCTGAAAGCGGAAAAATATCCAAGAAAGGCATGGGGATAATTAATAGACAGACCACCAGCAAGTTGAATAGATGGAAAACTTAGAGAAACCCTCAGTATCTCACTCGAGAACACAAAAAGGAGTCATGGGGAACAAGTTCTGGAAGGCCGCGGGAGGATGCTGAGGGTTGTACCTACTCAAACAGAGGATGATTCAAAGTGGAGAAGTGGTCACAACTCCAAAATGCACTAGACAAGTTCTAGGGTTATTACTATCCGTCTCTCATTTACACTACACACAGGTGAAGAGAGCCCTCTGTATGAACGCTTTGCAAACGCATGAGATGCTGAAAAGGGCACAATATCACATGGATTGGAAGAAAACGTGAGCAAAAGTTCACTCTTGATGGCTAAGCCGATTCAATACGCTATTTGTAAGAACTCAACAAGATTTGGATGCATCTGTTCAACTACCTTATTCTAGGGAATCGACTCATTGTACCATTATATTCATCTAGTGGATTCGTCGGCTTTTACTTCGAACCGGAATCTCATCGAGAATATCTGGAAAAACACGATGAGACGAACAGACAAACGTAATCGCATCGTCCATATAACCACACAATTGGATATAAGATACGAAGCTTCATGCAGCCTCGGACGAATGTGATAAAATATATCCAAACAATGTATAGTAACCCCCCAAAGAGAGACTATTGCGGAGAAAGGAGCCTTCCGGCCTGTCCTCGGGCATGGGGTCTAAAATTAGTGAGCCGTGTGGTAACAAATTAGATGAAAATTCTTATGGCTGTTTGCAATGGCCAATTAGGCAAATAGTCAGAAGGCCTCGACAAGATTCGTCGGTGGGTATAAGTGTGCTACAACTCGAACCGAATTTCTTCACATCAAACACAAGTTCCTGTTGATGGCTTGAAACAAACTACTTGAGGTATTCGCTAGTCCGAATGTCATTTTTGACCTAAGGTGTAGCTTTTGTACTTCTTTTCTCTCGTTTATTTTTCAAAGCATCATATCGGGGTTTTCGTTCACATGCAACTACATCCAACCATCAGTGCTTTTGCTATCTAAAATTGATATTTACGGGCCAGAAACAGCTGTATCCTGTTGACAAACAATATGCCATGTGTTACCTGGGCTACCAAGCTCCCGTTTGTCTACTCGCTGGGTCGTTTCAGCTGTAGCGCGTTACTGCGACACAGAATTTCAGTGCAGTTTGAAGGTATGAACAGCGTGTGCTTGATCATTTTTCGGTATTTTTCGCTCTGAACCCTGTCTCTCTCCTATCTTTTCCCAGTACACTAAAAGTTTCGGTCCTCACCTCGTTGCAAAGCAGCCAAACTCCGGTAATCCTCATCATCATCGTAAGCATGACATCCGTGTTCAACACCGATGCTTCATTGCCGTGAAAACTCCGGTAATAACTACAGGTATATTGTCACGGATACAAAATTCGCCCATTAAAACTAGCAGTTGGGGTATAAATATTCTATAATAACCAGCTATATGACGATTAAAATTCGATTTCGTGAGCCATGAGGGTAGTGTAGGAAGGTATGAACTCGAGCTAAATGCAGTCCCTTGAAATGCGAGCGCAGGCGTCAAACCCATCTGGTGGTAGTGATGGTGGGATTCCTGAGTTTTATTCACACTGGATATCCCCTTACTATACCTGTATAGCCTAGTTGTGAACAGGTAACACGCGATCAGTAAACTGGATTATGTATCAGAACCGCGTAGTTCGAAGGTTTCACCTAGTCCTTGAAAGACCTTTCTACATCTTATACGAGATCATGAGGCTTATGGACTTTCTTTGAGAAGCAAATAGTAGACTTTCTGGGGAGGTGGGTCGTGGCCTCTTTAGAAATACGAAATCCCACAAAAATATGATATGTCATGCTTGTGGTGAACTTTCCGGAGGGTTACGCTTGATAAAATCGCTATGACGCAATAGCGGTCAGTTCTGCAGTCATTATGATAGTAACAGCGTTTTACACTCTCATGAAGAATCTAATTCGTGCATCTCATAGTAAAGTCTTTATGCATTCAGTAACTATCTGGGTGTGGGTAAATTCATTACAACCTTGCGAATCCATATTTAACAGAGTCTTTTTTAGAGAGTTGGGAGTATCAAAATACTTGAGTAGGCACGATGTGAAAACTACAGAGAAACGTTTCATTTAGTTGAACATTTTCTCCCAGACAAGTTGCTGCGCAATCGATTCTCAGTGGTGCTCCAGTTTTCCACACACAAAACACGTAATCCAAATTCCAGTGGGCTGGTTGTCTGCTTTGGACAGAAAACCTGTCACAAGAGACATGTTACACACGTATTCGTTTGAAACTTACGTCAATAAGTTATCATTTCCTAACTGAACACAGTGCGAGTGAGTAGACTCAATCTACAGCAAGTGAACAAAAGCTAATGAGTTGATGCGCTTGGTGGTCTGATTGCATGCTTTTGAAGTCGAACAAAACGCACCATACAGTGTGTCCAACACGAATTGTACCAGCTTCATCTTGGCACCAAGGTTCTGAGGTATTTCGGTCTGCATTTTGTAAGTCGCGACATATCCTGGCATGGCACTGATAGCAATAAATTCAGTTGCAATATTACAACTATATTAAACCAAGAAGTTTCGTACCGTGCACAGAACCATCTCGCCTCCAAAATCTATACAAATGTATAGAGGTGATTTGACAAAAATACTCTACGGTATTCTCGAGTCATGAAGAATGTGCATGCACGGAAAGCACAACACTGATGATTGGGGACTTGTGTAAATTTTAGCCATTTCAACAAACGTCTGGATGATCTTGTGTGAAACTAAGCTCAAGATTGAGTTGTGAAACAATTCAGTCTGTATTTGGGTGAAAAGCAACGGCCATAGTTTTGAACGGGTGTAACATATTTTGAAATGCAGGTGATGTGTCCGGTGTTAGACCAATATATATCATGCGCGAATGAGCTTCAGTTAATTCGATCTAGGTGAACCGACTGTACAAAGGAACAAAACTGTGGAGATGCACTTACCTTGGTGGGCCTTCTGGTGACTGGTGTTAGTTCGGTTGTTTCGTCTGAATCCGGACAGACCATTGATTCGCTCAGTCGTTGAAGACGGTAATCAGCGCTCGCATAAACACCTCGTACAAAGCGCTGTGTCTGTAACTGTTTCTGCCGTTCGCTTGGAGTCATGCCACTGACTACGGCAGTACCCAGGTTCGCGGAGTCAGTTTCCAGATACTGACGATGCTTTGGTGTAAAAAGAGACACAGATAGAGATAACAGGAATCATTTGATCGACCTCGACACCAAGCGAGACGTATGGTCAAACATATTTTGAAGTGGCTCCAGCACTCACGTACTGCTAGCCCCAGGAGTACAATAACGAAACACCTGGTTGTTAGCGTATAACACGTCAACATCTTTCAAAGTTACTATTATATCCACATAACGATTTATACTAGAAATTGTTGAGGCCACTACTGACCACGTTTTCGACTTTCCCACATAGACAAAAACAACTTCGCTTACCTAATGAATATCATGAGAGGCGAAGCAGGTGGTGGGCTATCGATGAGTTTTCAGCGGCCTTGTGTGCGTGTGCCCGGTTAAGGAAACACTAGCGAATAACGTTGCGCTAACGACAAGATATCACAGCTCCACTTTCTTTCTTGTGCCCACTAAATAACACATTTACACCTTGGGTTGTCCTCTCCAATTCCATATTTCGCCCACCCCGCTGATATCCAGTTCAACCTTATGCACTCGCCACTAACCTGACGTCACGTGACATCAATGACTGATTGGCGTTTCTTAAAATCCATCATACACTGACTAGACTTTCGCTATTCTTGATAAAAATGCAGGGAACGTTAGAGAAGCAATGGCAGAGGTGCGGTAGAAATGTCACTACAAACGATGTCTTACATTGTGAATTTGCTTCTATTTAAGCTGGAAAAGGCTTCTCGATATCCTGGAAGGACCGACATCAGGAATCGGGTATGGTGAAACTTGAGTGCAAATCTTTTACACAATTGCATGTAGATGAAAGCGCTACTAAGGGATAATTGCGTCTATCAGAGGCACGTTCAGCATCGTCACTTACCGTTGTCCGTTTTTTACCTGCAGAATCAACACTGACTAGTGAAAAATGCGTTGACAATACTGACGCCTTGAAATGCCCAACCTAAGTCCAATAAATTTTGAAGCTGTCGTCCAGCGGCTTCCGGATCTGAGACGGATCTGGGAGTCCAACAAGATTGTCAATGGCACACCCGTAGGCAATCAAGAAACAGCATCTAATTATGACATATCTGTTATTGAGGCGTCGTTTATTTCAAAGTTCCAGTATTTCGAAATAATGCACCGAACCGAAGACCGACTTGAACGAGTGACGCTTCAAAGAGAATGGGACTTACCGCGGTGGAGCTCACTGTGCCATACAGGTACAGCCGCCTACTCCTTAAAACCTGGTACTACTGTAGTAGTAGTAGTGTTCCGGCACCAACTAGCTCATCGTCTTCCCGTCTAGGTCTGGGCGCCCTTGGGGTGTCCCCCGCACATCACAGCTACAAGTATTGTCGCGGCACATGGGTTGTCGTCCGATGTCACCAGCCAGGTCGTCTTATTTGTTGCCCATAAACGAAAACATGCTTACCGCGGTGGAGCTCACTGTGCCATACAGGTACAGCCGCCTACTCCTTAAAACCTGGTACTACTGTAGTAGTAGTGTTCCGGCACCAACTAGCTCATCGTCTTCCCGTCTAGGTCTGGGCGCCCTTGGGGTGTCCCCCGCACATCACAGCTACAAGTATTGTCGCGGCACATGGGTTGTCGTCCGATGTCACCAGCCAGGTCGTCTTATTTGTTGCCCATAAACGAAAACATGCGGCTGCTGACGTCTTCCCTCTCACACTTTCACATATTCCCTCTTCTACCCTCTTTCACCCTTATATGATTAATCTCTCTTTGCAGTAGAACTGACCACTTTGTTCGCCATGCATGACGCTCGAATTCTGTTTTCTCACCCCAAAAGCCGACCCGCTTCGCCGCCTTCAACGTTTGCACACTGAAGAAAGCAGGGAAGCAAGCGGCTCTTGCTCATTCGCTGGATTCCATTTGTAGTGTTATATGCTGTGCGTCAGAAACAGTGGCCCAGGAGACAAATACCTTCTTTAGGCTGATAGGGAAGCAAGCGACTCTTGTTCGTACGCTGGATTCCATTTGTAGCGTTATATGCTGTGCGTCAGAAACAGTGACCCAGGAGACAAATACCTTCTTTAGGCTGACTGCTCCTCAACATTATACCACTTCCGGCTGCGCAATTATGGTAACATGGAAGCCGCTGTCACTCGATACACCTGGGTAGATATCTTGTTGAACAACCAAGTGGAGGCGTCTCTGTCTGATTGGATGCCCGTTGGTAGTCGTCTCTATTCGTTTCACCTGGCAACTTCTGTGATAAAACCCCCAGAATGTGAGGCCAACCTCCGTCAGGTGTTAGAGCGACACCATATGCACAGACGACCCACGATCTTGGTGTTCCTTGACCCCAAAGCTGCGTGTGATTCTGTCAATAGACCAGTGCTCCTAACTACACTTGCTCAACAGGGGATGTCGCAGAAGTTTGGTAATATAGTCCGATCCTCATATTCACATACTTCTGGGATCTGGAGAATGTACGATGAACTTTATAAAAGCCTTCCTACAAAAAAGGGTGTTCGGAGAAAATGTCGGCCTTCAAATTTTTTAAAACTTGTTAATGAACAAATGGGGCGAATGCTATAGGGCTTTCAGACCAATCTGATCTCCCAGCTATCACTAACGTACCTCAAAATGATATCTTGTTAAATTTCATTTTGCTAATTACCTCCAAGCTGCTAGTCTCGCTAACTGTTTAAGAATGCCAGTGATGTTCGCTGTTTCGTCTGGTCAAACTCATATATGATGCCGAAGGCGATTCCCAAAACATCTGAAATGTGTGCTCAAATTTCCGAAAGCGAACTAACGATATCTTGATGCATTCTGTGTCATGGCGATGCTCCACTTTACACTAAGAAATTATGTGACTTACAATGCTGCCGAACTCACTATCGGCTTTTGTCTATTGATATAGTACCGTTTCATGTCCTTATTTTCTCCTGTTATGCTCAAGAAGGATTTCTGTTTCCAGATACAATGCCCCAAATTGGTTCTTAATACCTCTTCGAAATATCACCTCCCACATCCCTTATGTTCAGAAGCATGAACATGTTATTGCCGACAGCCATCACCCTCTCGACACCGACTTCCCGAAGAAGGACTGACGGACGGTAACTCGGTTTCGCTACGCAACACTGAAACTTCCACCTTGAAAGCATTAGTTCAAGCTTCCTAGTGAAGATCTTGAGCAAGCTGATGCCCTTAGGTACGTGAATCGCTTCATACGTCGCAGCGCCTGCATAGGCCTTGAGTGCGTTTCGACAACACGCACTTCGCAAGCACCAGTCTATCATCTATGGTGCCCCTAGCAAATATTACTGAAGCAACAAAGTAAGTGATGTAGGAAGAGAGAGGGAGAGAAGGGTTGCTTCGTGAATGAGCATCCTGTTGACGAGGAAGCGGAGATTTCTTCAGATATTTGCTCACCGGTATGCGTTGCATCACATACACCCACCAATGGACAATCTATTTGCGCATTTGAGTTTTCTAGTTATTGAGTCGGAATGTCGAAAGCAACAAATGGACGATATCAATGAACAGTAACAATCAAATGATATTTCAAACGTCTTTTGAGGACAGTTCAATGCGAAATGCATGCGGCCACTGTCAAACGGGCTGCTTAATGGGCTTCGCGCCCTGACGGATGGGATACTGGGGAATCTACAGAATAAGTCATGTAACCTTTCAGGACAGTTCAATGCTAAATGCATGCGGCTACTGTCAAACGGGTTGCTTAATGGGCTTCGCTCCCTGACGGATGGGATGCTGGGGAATCTACAGAATAAGTCATGTAACCGACCCCACTGACCAGCACATTGTCATATTTAACAGGAGTGCCCAGCCAATATCTCTGTCATTTGTCTCTTGGTTCTTGTGGCATGATCCATGAGGATACTCGACTACTGAGCTCATCAATGAGAATCTCCAGCTGAAATCGGCTCGATCTGACGTGGTTCTCATTCTTTTAGGTCAGGCATTTCCAGGCGCTCTCTTCTTGACGGTTTTCCGCAGTAAGCCGTCATCCCCAACCACTGCTTACACTCCTGAATAGGGCAATTTTCCTGTACGGTTGCAAAGCGGTGAGGTCTCAGTAGTTGGTGCTGATATATTGTTATTCCAGACAATAATGACAATACCTATAGAAAGTACCCTCCCGGGTCCAGTCCAGTATAACCCACTGGTTGGATGTCTGCTCACACTTTGTAGCACTATAGAGAAACTCAAACAGAAAATGTTATAGACCGTGCTGGACAAAGTTTAAATTGATCGTATCTGTTTTTTCCCCAGTATATTTAACCATTGTGCCGATATATAAGCCTTGAATGCTACCGTTACTGGAAGGACCACACTTGATATAATCTCGCTTTGTTGCAGACCAGCTAGCCACTAATAGCAGTTCTCAAAGAACGAGCTGCTTTTCTCTCCTAACCCTACATCGGTTTTGGTCAGAAACTGGTTACCTGTCATCAGTACAAACAACAACACTACACACCCACAGGGAAACTGGTTGAACTCATTAGTGGACGCGGGTATTGATTGATCAATGGCTAGTTGAAATAGATGGCTGGAGTGAAAAATGTCGTTTTTGTCTTCATCCGGAATAAGATATCGTAGGCTAGAGTGAAAAACAAACGTTCGTGACTCAACACGGTCACGCCTCACCTGAGGTGCACGATGCCGTACGACAGATTCATCGACGTCAAATTGCGTATCCTGGTTAGGCAGTTTTTGATTTCGTACACTTGTGGCTGCCTCGTAGGCGATCAAATAGGCTTCATGAAGGTGCTGGAATGCAGCTGATGCCTTGCTTTCATATCCATCTTTTCCTTTGGAAGCACCTGACGAACAGACAGAGGAATCTGGATGTAACTTTTTAGCCAACCGCAGGTAGGATTCACGGCATTGCTCTGGTGAACTATTCACATCAAGTCCAAGCGCAGCAAATGCGGATTCTACTGTTAAGTTCGGACCTGGGCTTTTTGGTTTGCTGGATAAAAAATCTCTCGGGAAAAACCGATTGCATGGTAGAGGACGTCCTAGAAGTTGGACGGCCTTCCAAAACATCAGACATATACCGCAAGTCGGTCGGTAAATTACCTCAGCTTATTCCCGTCTTCGGTTGGACAAATAAAGTAAAACCTGAAAGAAAGAAATGAATCAAAGTATAAAAATCTGCAACGGAAGCGGCTAGAGTTAGTCTTCAGTCCAATTAAAAAGTATACATCGCACAAGCTCTTTGAAGAAATGTTCGCAAGATTTTCATGTGAATCAAGCATTCGTCTTGATGAAACACCAATTGAAACGATACCAAATCAAGCACTCGCACTTAACTCAGGTTAGGGAAGAATAGCCGCCGCACCACCCGAAACTCAGGTTGGGAAGAATAGCCGCCGCACCACCCGATTGAGAAGCTCTAGTCTACATCATCAATCAGAATAACCTAGATAGAAAGCAGACAGTCATTGGAAGCGTTGAACCAACGAAACCAATCACAATAGCCATTAATTTAGAAGAGAAGTTTCAAGTGTGTTCAGCACACATGATATGTGCGCGCCTGCCTGTCACAGAACTGGATCATAAATCCGGTAGAACTACGCACTAGTGATGTCTAAAGCAAGCGTAACCTGGATTCTCACCCGCCCCCCTTGATCACACAGAAAATGGTGTGGGGTAAATGTTCAAGCATGTGTATTCGCAAAGAACAAGTAACGAATAAAAAGTATCAACTTTCCTTTGACACTGTGTGGATAAACTAAGGGCTATTCAGGAGGCCCGCTACACTAGTCGTGCGTCATACAGTCCCTACCAACTTCTCAGTGGGTCAAGGCCACGTGGAAGCGTAAAGCCCACGCAAGCGACTGGTGAAATCAGAGGATGATGACTGTGAAATCACATAATCAAAAGGCTTACCAGTGACAAGTACACGAAGAAAAAACTCATGATCGTGTGGACGATCGGAGATCAGGTGACTCCGGTTAACCCTCCCTGTGGCTGCAGAAATGCAGTCGCATAATACGCAACATGTGATAAACATGTGATAGGCCTGAGTCATGTAAACTGGCGTCATGATGACTATTCCGAACGATGGATTTTCATCGAATCCAACTTGTAGCATTTTCAGATAGTTTGCAGCCGCAAGCAGTACAAAAAACCTTGACTTGGTTTGGTCAGGGGTCTGGCTGAGCTATCCAGAACGTTTCTAAGCAGTACTCAGTAGGGTGGAATTCATAAAGGTCCAGCTGCGAACTAAGCGGTCAACTACAGATGGGAATATCGCTCAGCTGTAGCACCCTTTCGGTGCCTNGCCACCAGAAGAAGCCCGGGGGCTGGGATCCTGCTAGGTTCCCCGAGCCGAGACAGAGGACGTCGAGAAGCAGAGACCGGGTTCGAAGCACGGACTTTCCGGTGAGCAGATTCGCACTCTAACAACTTTAGCCATCTCGCCACAATACTAGAGCAAATTTTTTTCACAGCCGATTTCCTCTAGAAGGTAACAAGAAACCAATTTTGGTGTTGAAAAACACGGTGATTTCATACACACAAGCGTCTTTTAATCGAAAGCATCAGGCCCCATCCTAATATACAGTAAAGTCAATAGCGTTTAACCCGGACAAACGGCCAACAGCACCGCGGACGTTTAGGAAGAATGTAGTTATTCAGCGGTGGTGTGCTTTCAAAGTCGATAAATTACGAGCAACTTGGGTGCTTGCCCATTCAGCTGCAAGAAATAGCCGAAGAAAGTGTAACAGAACCTTAGAGTCCTTACTTCTGAAATATCAAGACATGCGTTCACTCGTAGCACCCTTTCGGTGCCTAGCTGCCATGCCACCAGAAGGAA